AAGAAAGAAAGAAAGAAAGAAAGAAAAGAAAGAAGGGAGAAAGAAAGAAGGAAAGAAAGAAAAGAAAGAAGGGAGAAAGAAAGAAAGAAAGAAAGAAAGAAAGAAAGAAAGAAAAAAGAAAAAAGAAAAGTTTGTCTGATGCAGGTGTCCAGTGGGCAAAACCAGGCATGTGGTCACCCTGAACTGGACTCCTGCCCCCTTGGTTTGCCACATTAAGGGACACACCTGAAGAAGCTCGCTGAGAAGACCGTAACGTGTGAGCTTGGAAAAGATGCGGTTTCACAAGCAGGTACTATACACAAGGCCTGTTATTCCAGCTCCCTTTAAAAAGTGTTTTTCTGAGAGCTCCTCCCTTTGATGCACGATATTGCTGCTCCACAGTGTGCATGTGCAGAGGCGCAGGGGACCGAGCGAGTAGAGGGCCCCCCACCCCCAGCTGGACCCGAGCAAACCCCCACAATTCACATTAGAGCGTCTCCGACACCAGGGTTAACTTTCTGCTCTGACCTCACTCACCTGGGATTCTGCTGCAGCTTTAGGGGACTTCCTCCCCTCCTCCCATGCCATCCAGACATGGGGAGGCCAGTGCCCTGTTAGGGACGCCCAGCCCCCAGTGGCATATCACTCACCCTCACCCTATGGCTTTCCTGTCAGCCTCCCCAGTCTCCCCCACATGTGCAAGGGAAACGCTGCAGTGGTGACCAACACAAAAATGGGCAAACACTAAGAACAGGGGCAATCCAGGCCAGACTGACAAGGGTGTGGGGTGCAGAGTGGAGACGGAGGAGACAGTCCTGAGCCTCTGGGAGGTGAAAACTTGAGTCTGAGAAATCCATCACCCCATGCCTATCTCCTGCCTGAGTTTCAGTCCAGTCCCCCAGGAACACCAGTTCTCTCTGGGAATTCTGGAAAGGGCATACACATGTCTTGAGTGGAAGAAACAACCTGTGGAGTCTTGAAAGAAGCTTTGGAACACAACAGGTGGGGTCCGAGTGCAGTCTGGGTGGGGTGGCTCCAGTGTTTCCCGCCCCCCCACCCCCACCCCAGGCATGTCCCACCCACTGTCCACCCAACTCACAGTGAGAATAGGCCACGTGCTGGCTCTCAGAGACAGCTTCCGGAATGTCTTTTAGGTGATTCCTGAAAGAGAGGAAAGTACACCATGGCCATCCAGCGTATTCTACAAGTCCTGCGGAAAGTCTATCCCATATTCTCTCTGCAAAGCACTCTATATCTTTCATCTCGAATCTCTCCCCCGCTTCTTCCTCCAGGATACTTTATCTAATGTGCAATTCCTCTTTGAATTTCAAGTTCATGTGACTCCAGCTTGCCATATTTATAGCTATCCCTATTTAGTCTGACCTCACTGATTTGGGGTCACTGCTCCCGCCTGGCAAAATTCGAGCAATAGCAACAGCTAGGGTTTGCGTAGGACTTCGGGACACAAACACATCTGTGATATGCTAGAACCACCGATAATCCCGGGGGGGGGAAATATTCCTATGCCAATTTTACAGATTTAAATAGTGAACGTCAGAGAGGTAAAGTGACTTATGTAAGGTCACACAGCCAGGAAACGGCAAAGCTAGGACTCCAAGTCAGGACCGCATATTCAAAGTTCTGTTATCTCACACATCAGATTTTTTTTTTTATTTTTTTAGGCCTTTGGTTTTCTGAAATTACATTAAATCAAATATTGACAGGACGGACAAAGTCGTTTGATAGAAGTCAATGATAAGCACTATTTTTTTTTCTTTTTTTCCCTAGAATGGAAAGGAAAAACGCAAAGATGTACGTACAGCCACTGGCCTAAAGTGACCATTCACGATCCCAGAAGTCTCTGAACGTTCTTCTCTCAAAAGCTCTCTCCTTTATGAGCTACCTGTATGAATCACTCACCTCTCCTAGGCTCCACACGGTTTATTTTTAAAAAAAATTTTTTTTCAACGTTTTTTTATTTTATTTTTGGGACAGAGAGAGACAGAGCATGAACGGGGGAGGGGCAGAGAGAGAGAGGGAGACACAGAATCGGAAACAGGCTCCAGGCTCCGAGCCATCAGCCCAGAGCCCGACGCGGGGCTCGAACTCACGGACCGCGAGATC